CCCTGTCCAGCGTTCTGCCCCCATGGTAGCCGGTCGCCCCCGGTCTCCCGCAGAGCCGAGCCAGCTTCCAACACATTTCCTGCCCAGCCAGGGACGCAAGGTCTGGTCGGCCTCAGCCTGAGCCCTCTGTGGCCAGGGAGAGCAGTCGCCAGACGCCGGGAGCCTGCCGGGCCACCGCACTCCCCGCCCCGGACCTTTGCCCGCACGTCCGCACTTCTCCGGCTGGAACTTGGGGAAGTTTTTTCCTTTTCTCTTTTCTCTTTTTTTTTTTTTTTTAAGTTGAGTTTGTTATCACCGCTCGGTGCCACTTGGTGGTGTGCTGGCGGCGTCTCCCTCCCTCCTCGCGCCCCTCCTCTCTCCCTCCCCTCTCCCTCCGCCTCTCTCTCTCCCCGGTGGATGGAGGCAGGAAGGCTCCAGGCGCGCTCTCCCCTCTGACCACCTACGGAATGACCTCAGAGTGGGAGAATGTGCCAAGGCCCGGAGGAAGCTCGCGTTCTCCCCACTGGAACCAAATTCACATCTGGAGCCGCGGCTCCGGCCCGGGGACGCGCGGGGTGGTTTCCAGCTTCGCAAAGAGGAAAAAGAGACGGGAAAGAAAAAAAAAAATAAAAAATAAGGCAAAGTGGCAGCTTGCTTGCTGTTCGTTTGCTAGTGTCTCTTTATCTCTAGCTGTCTCCCCAAAGATCTCGCGCTCTCTCGCGCTCGCCTTTCCAGCATGAGCCTCCCAGTCACCCTGCAGGACGGCTCTCGCCCCCCACCCCAGCCTTCACACCTCCCGCAGCTAAAGGAGGGGCTGCCGCCAAGAACCCCCAGCCCAGCCTCTGCGAGGCGGACAGCAGCAGTCTCCAGGGACTGCTCGGCTCTGGGTCCGGGCGTGGCGCGAGGCGAAGTTCTCGCTAGCACTCCAGAACGCGGGGGGCTGCGAAGGTCCGCGGTGGGGGTGGGAAAAAGGGGAGGCTCTGGAGGCGTGAGTTACGGGAAGAAAAGGCACCTTCACCCACCCAGTCCCAGGGATTTTTTTCTCGGCCTCCCACGGGGAGAGTCTGGAGCTGCTGAGGAGGGGGAACAGTGCGTCTCCCCCTCCCCATTTTCCCCTGCAAGTCCTAGGAAATAGCTGCTGGGTGCACGGTTTTGATTCAATACACCAAGCCAGTTGCCAGAGCTCCCCCTAGTGCCGCTTGGAGGGCACTGCAGCGGTTGCGTTTGGGAGTGGGCGAGGCACAGCCTGGGGCGGCGGGGCTGCTGGGGCGACTCTGCGCCCACCTGGGGCGCCGCGCTGCGTTGGGATCCAGCCCTGACGTGAGCGGGGGCCCAGGACTGCGTGCGTCCCCAAGCCAAGCCCTCGTCGAGGAGGGGCACGTGGTCAGCGCCTTTGTTGGGAGCTACAGAAAGGGACGCCAAGGGGTTTGGGAACTCAAGACCCTTGGGCAAAGGAGTGTGAGTGATGGGGTGCTCTGAACTCAGCAAGACCCCAGACTAGGCCTCTGCTCCCCTCTGCCAGGTGTTCTGAGCTTAAACTGCACCAAGAGACTCAGGCACACAGGGGATCTAGTGAAACCCAGGGACAGGACAGGATGGAGAGGTCTAGGACCACCCAGAAGAGAGGTTCCCTTCCCTGCTCACCTGTTTGCGGCCCAGGGACCTTGGACAGTCACAGAAAATGTTAATACCCTGAGCATAATTAATACGAGGGGACTGAAGCCAATATACGCCACGCAAAACCCTGCACACCTGATATTCCGCTGCGAGCCAGCCTGAGGGCCACACCCAGCTGAGCCTCCAGCTTGGGGTTCTCAGCATCCTCACCCCACACACACCCCGGGGCCACTGGCACTGCGGGCAACACACTGCCCAGTCCCTGGGAGAGACGGGTGCGCCCATGCAGAGCCCAGCAGAAGGTGGGTCTGGAGGGATGGGCTTGCCTTATCATGGGGGGGTCCTCTGAGCCCAGGATGGGGTCAGGCAGCCAGGCAAACCAGAGTCCAGCCCAGGTCCACCTACAAGCCCCTCCCCTTCGCATAAAAAGACAAAGCTGAACCCCACGAGAGCCCCCAGGCAAGACTTGGGGTGCTGCTTGGGGATTGGCAGAGACTGGGGGCCCCAGGGAATGATGAGGGGGCTCCCAGAGAACAGCCGCTCAGGCAAGCCTCTGGTGCTCGCAGGTCACCGGCTCCGAGCACACTTCCGCAGCTCCTAGGACACCGCAGGTCCTGATGCCCTTGATGCGTGGCGCAGGGCTGAGCCAGGCTCCAAGCTGCGCTCCCAGCAACAGCGAGCCCCGAGCCGCTGGAATGACAGCCCAGTGCCTGGGAGAGCTGCGGGCTGCCCTCCAGGGAAGCCAGAGGCTAGGGATGCCTGGGCTCCCAAGAGGGCCACTGTGTGGGATGTAGAGATCCGGGTGCTTCTGGTGTGTGTGTGTGTGTGTGTGTGAGAGAGAGAGAGAGAGAGAGGTATCTAGAACGTTCCAGCGTGCAAGCATGTGTACGTGGGCACGTGTCAGGGTGTGTGCCCCGGGAGCTGCGTCCCTGTCTCTCCACTCACAGGACATACTTACAAAGCACCCCCTTCGTGCCCAGTCTGTGCAAAGCACTAAGCCGACCACGGACAGTAACAGCAAATAAAAACAGCTCCCCTCATCTGCATCTGCTCACTCAGTTCTCCCGGCTCCCGTCTGAGGTCGGTACTGTCAGCGTCGTCATGTAGAAATGAGAAAACCTGCCCAAGGTCACCCCGCAGAAGTGGCCAGGGCACGGGCTGACCCAGTCCTGTGTTCACCAGGACTCGCTTGGGGGAGACAAGTGTGACTGGCACCAGCTTGGGCAAAGCTGGGGTTTCTTGGCTCCTTACACTAAATGTCCTGGGCAGGGGTGCCACTGGCTTCAGGCACAACTGGATCCAGGGTCAAATCTCCCAGATGCTCTCCACCTCCTGGACTGCCTTCTGTCCTTGAGTCCCCCACTCTCCCGCTGCAGACCAGCTTCTTACGGCCGCTGCAGGAGCCGTTCCCAGCCTCCCACCTCACAGCCTTGTCACCCAAGGGGGACTGTCCTCTGTTTTTCTTTTCACTTCCGAAAATCCCAGGAAATGACTTTTGGGTCCCCTACCTGGGTGCTGTCTCAGACTTGTGGCCAGGGTGTGAAGTGGTTGGTGGCCCCCACTGGACACTTGCAGACAGAGAAGCGTGCTATTCTAGAGATGTCCTCCAGAGAGAGGGGCTGCAGGCCAAGCTAAGGCAGGTCTTGGGGGGACCTGGGATGGGGCGGGGGGGACGTAAGGTGAACACAACTACGTTTATACCCCAGCTGCAGCGGTGCGTGAGGAAAGAGAGTGAGAGGAGAGAAGTAAGGTCCTAAACCAGCTTTCATGATCTCCAAGTCAGAAAAGCAACCATTGCTGGGACCAGCAGTTGGCATAATGGCTATGTTGCTGGACTCCCATGTAGTTGACTGCGGTTCGAGTCCTAGACCCTGTGGCTTAGACTCACGCCGGGCCATGTGCATGCGTGCCCAAGATCCCGAGAGGAAAACGGAGGGGAAGGGACTGCCACACGGCCAGCCCCCCTGGGGGGTGATTTCTCGCTTTCTGTCTCTTTGTCTCTCTGTCTCTCTCTGTCTCTCTGGCAAGTGCACATGCCCTATAGCAAAAACCTTTCAAAATAAAAAAAAGAAAAGCAGCCATTGTTTCTGGGTTCCTGATGAGGAAGAAAAACACAGATAACAGCGTCACATTTCACGTCCGCCTGTGCTCGTGGTCGGTGCTGTGCACTCCTCATTCACAAGTGCCTACATGAGGCAGGCAGCGTGCCAGGCACCCAGGACACAGCGCGAACGAGGCCGACGAGGGGTCCTGCCCGCCCAGGACTTGTGTTCTAGTGGGGGAGGCACACAGCAGACAAGGAAGCCAACAGCAGACGAGTGTAACTAAAAGAATAAAAAATAGGACTCATGGGGCCAGCATAGTGCTTAAGGCTCTGGATTCCCAAAGGGCTGACTGCGGTTCGAGTCCTGGACCC